TACATCCAAGGCCGGTCTACCACCACATATATATTATGTTTTGCAGCCGGAGATAAAAACTACTGATTCTTTCCATTTTTGGTTCTAGTTTCTAAAATTTGGGAGTTGTCTCCAAGCCAGATAGTGATATTAAAAATTATTTGGAAGTGGGATGAACAATAAACTGGCTTTAATTTATAAAATTATATTTTATTCCAGTGAAAAAATAGTTGTATTTTCATTTTTTAGGAGCACATACACATGAAAGTGCAGCCCAAAAGCTGAGCAGTGTAGACACGGACAAGCATAATAAAGAACATATCACTGGAAGGAACTAACTCCAAGTTATCAGCATCACTACTTTCAATATACCCTCAGTCTGCATCAGTAAAACGCTACCTGGTATAACAGTTTAGGACGTGTGGCAAGAAGAGAATAGCTTTACATAAGCTTTACTCCCTAGAGGTGCCCTGTGGACAAAGGTACTTGCATCACATGGATGCATGGGCACATGTTCATTCCCTATATATAAGATAGATGTAGCGAACTGGAATTACATCAAGGATCAAAGGACATGGGAGAACAAAGCCCAAAGAGAAGCTGGACAGTTCCTTTCCTTTGCATTAAAATCAGCAACGAGAAGAGGGAGGTGGATGCCTTACTGGGTGGAAGAGGAATGTCAGGACTTACAAAGGCATCTCCCCCAGAGAACGGGCATACTGCTTTTCTTCAGATGGAGTGTATGGATATAGTAAACCAATACACATACAAATATAATATCATAATTCTAACTCTGTATCTATTAAAACAGGATAAACTACAAAGTGGCTAAACTTTACACTTGCATTGAGCAGTGCATAGTCCTTGAGCATGGAGCATAGAATGGCCTCTCCTCTCTCCCTCCAACACGGCTTCTGCTTTTTGAGGAGAAAACTGTTCACTCATAGCTTTTGGCTTTTGTTTAAAGTCTTTATAACCAGCTTGTAAAATATGTGTAAAATATAACACACGTGGTCCGGTGGGCTGTCAGGTATTGATGGAGTAAAGGTGGATACAGATCTTACAGTTGCTACGTTTATGTATTGAAGGAAATATGTGTCTAGCTCTTTGAGAAAACAGGAATGTGTTATTTAGATAAAAGATGATTACTCTCATAGTAAATAAATCATGTACTTTAAAGGAAGAATCCTAGTATCTTTACATGCTGCAAAAGTGCTCAGGGTCATTGTTCCCAGAGCAAAATCTCAAACACTTGGTAGTTACCCCTATCCTTTGTGACCACTAGACCTATGCTTATTTGTTCTTTCACTATTTCTTTGCCCATAAGTATGCTGAAAGTTATCTTGTTAATTGAAATATTTGGAATCAGATACATTTTACTGTCCTTTAGGTGGGAGGCCTCGTGGTGGGTCGTTTGCCGGTTTTAACTGCAGAATCATAGTCTTGACTTGATGGTTTGAGACAAACCTCGACGGAGGGTTCCTCCAAAGTGACTGCACTGTCTGTTGTCACTGGAACAGAGCTAACAAAACAACACCACACAAACTCCACAGCGAGGATAAATAATGGTTTTCCTCAGGGTAGGAGTTTTCAGCACAGGCTTGCCATTTGTCACGAAACTGGTACTACTGTTTGCTCTGGATAGCTTAAGTGAAATTCTCACTTCAGCTCTTATCTCAGCCAATTGTCATGAAATGCAATTGTGTCTATAGGTGTGTGGGAAGGCACATACGGTAACAGCTCTAGCCACAGCAGCAAAGGGGGATGAACTAAAAGTTCAAAAGGAAAATTTTATTAATAATACATATGCAGTGGTAGAAGAAAGTCATTGTTCTATAGCCCCCCAAAGCATGGAAATAAGGAATCTTCCAAGTCTGGCGGCCCCAGCGGCAGAAGGTGGAAGCGGGCAGACAGCCGAGCGTGCAATGGTCCATTTCTGCAACATCTTCCCCGGGTAGCTCCTCCTTTTGCCTTGATCATACAGACTGTTTCTGAGGTTTGCAACAGCCACGTGCCATGAGCTCTGTGGTGCCGTGCTCTCAGGCAGTGCCCAAGACCACATTTATTACTTCCCTCCCTGAAACGCAACTATTTTCTCCGTAATGATATCACGGAAATCTTGGGAACATGGAGGAATACAGGTATTTTCTGTGAAAGGACACTATTAGTGATAATTAACATGGAAGAGCCCAGATTATGGCAGAAACAACATTCAGAATGTACCCAAGGCTCATGAACAGTGGAGAAACAAGGAAAAAGGAGGGGCATCATCAGCTACTCACACCAGCCACGGAGCGAGAAAAGCTTAAGGAGACTTGTCAGTAATGACATTGTTCTGTTGGTGGCAGATGGAACCAAAGACCTAACGGGGAGGGAGCACCACAGGAACTGTGCTTAGATTCTTCACCAGGCAGATTCTAGGCTTATTCTCACTACTTGTTTGAGTTAGTGACCTTGAACTACACACAAAACTCTCCACTCTCCCTTTTCCCCATATCTCATGTCCTTCAGACACATTCAAGTTTAATATATCCAAGAAGCAAACCGTTCCTTCTCAATCTATAGAAGAAGTTACCATCTTGAAATCCCAAGCCAGAATTAGCTGTCCAAATCCCCACCATGTTGGCTATTAACTACCATTATCCACCTTGGCAGACAATGGATGAGGCTGACCTTCCACTGGGTGAGACTCGGACAGATACATTTTACTGAACAGAACTGTGGGTTCTGGGAAGGAAACATGGAATCCTGAGGGCTAAAGGATATGAAACATATGGCAAGATGGAATCATCAGAGACTTAATCCCTTTGGATAAAAGCAAAACTGATTCAAAAAGAGTGAGAAAATCAGTATGGAAGCTGTCAAAGCTAGAGTGATCAAGAATCAAATCCTGGGAATCACTTAAAAATCACCTTCTTTTCTTAAATTCTAAAATAAGTACATACTACTACAGTATATTTGGAAAATACAAAAAGTAAAAAAACAGTATTTTAAAAAAATTCATAACTTACTACCCTATCAACCAACTGTTGATAGCTTGGTATATTTCTTTCTAGTTTTTTCCTATACATTTTCCACATTACTTAACGGGTGCATACTTTACATCACTTATTCTTTGTATATAAATATTTTTTTTTAAAGATTTTATTTATTTGACACAGAGAGACATAGCAAGAGAGGGAACACAAGCAGGGGGA